AACACGTGTTAGGTTACTTACTAAAGTTTTAACTGGGGTAATAACTGAAGTTCTAATTAAATATTGAACGAACATTGCAAAAAATTCGGTCATAAAATATTATAATATCATTAATTAGTGATATATCAAATCGTTTATAACCATTTTTTATTTACAGATTTGTAGTAGCTTTAGAAAGCATCACAGTATACCAATGGCGCTACAACCTTTTAGATCTGAGCCTCAGATATCTGTATTTGTTTCGTGATTATTTGTTTTTTCTAACTGACAAGCAGGTAATAAGCCTTCTGTGCCAGACCCACACGAGTGCTAAATGCGCACATAGAAAGTGAATTGGTGCACAGCCGGGAATCGAACCTATGACCCAGGGAGAGAGTCGCACGTTGAAACCACTAGGCCAAACTCAAACTCAAAATAATTTTATTCATATAGGTAAACAAGTACACTTATGAACGTCAGAAAAGAAGTTAAATTAATTCTTAATTTACATTTACTACCAGTTCGCAATATATTAATACATATTGATTATAATATATATTGATTAATTTACGTTTAACGAGAGCTTTGAATTTATTTAGTGAAAATTTTCTTATTTTGCTTGGGAGTTTGTTGTAAAAAAACGAATACAATTTCCATATAAGGAGTGGTTTATCTTTTGAAGCATGGTTGGTCGTACGCTTACTGTGCCAAAGCTAGAGAGTAGTGTTATTTGTGTAAGTAGTATTACTTGGTGTATATGTCACCGTAAAATTGTAAACACCGTTAGATTGTAATCTATCTCGCGAGATTTTGAACTGTCGAAAGATTGTGAACCTCAACGTACTGCTTACGATTTAACGTATTATTCGGTATATTGTAATCTATCGAAGTGAAACCGTAATATATTATCAACATCTAATCGATTGATCCAAACCAATAAATAATTAATGGAATAATTGCATCCATTATATTAAAAAATACAGGAAAGTAAAGTAGACCACTTTTCCAATAGCCTATTACATTATTATTCCATTTTAAATAACTATAATTACAATCGGCAATAAACTTAAGGACCCTTCACTTCCAGACAAAATGTCAACCGCACTAAAATAAAAAAACCCATGTCACCGTTGAAGCAAAAAGGTGGAAAAATCAACAATTTTATGGCAGTAATTGCGAAGTAACGCAAATTATTCGCCTAGTATGGTGAAAATTTAACTCAATTCAGGGTAAAGAGGGCAGTGAAGCGTAACTTAATAAAACATTCTGCAACAATGATGTTAATATGTTTAAAAAAGTCGTGTAGGATCATTATAAAGATGACACGCTTTTTTGTTTGTACCTTATTACTAGCCGATATATTTGCTAAAAATATAATGTAATCTCTCATGTTCTAAAGTTACATTATTTAACTTTAAATAAGCTACGTTTTTGATTGCCTAATTCGATTTTAGCCTTTAATGAGAAAGGGTTAATCAAAACTTTATAGAAGAAAAGAATAAGGTAAATATAGTTAATTTAGTTCAACTATGTTTGAGTCACCAGTAGGCAGCTGGTTCCACGTACTGAGGCATTTCCAAACCACGACTTAGGGTCCTTCAAGATAAGAGCGTACCAATTCTTAAAATGCCGGCAACTCACTTGTGAGCATTCTGGCAATGTGGGTGTCCATGAGTGGCGGTATCACTTAACATCAGGTGATCCCGCCCGTTTGCCTCCTGTTACATAAAAAAAGGCCTATAAACCCCGACTGACCAAATAACACTTGCTCAATGCAATGTTCCCTATTCCAGAATCGACCTTAACGAATTAGGACGAATATAAATAAGATTGTTTAATAAATCAGACGAAGAAATTTGTCTGTTTGTCTAGTCTGCCCAAATTCCTGAGATAGAGGGTTATAATTAAAAGGATGCTTATCTACTACTGCGGCTCCGTTCTGTGAACTCTTTATTACAAACCTACATACATGTTTATATTATAAATATCGTGATTAAAGTGTTTAACATTAAATTAACAGGATATTTCACAGACTACTGGTAGCTATTCAAATAATTTAAATAATATTACTTTAAAAGTTCTTAAGCTACAATCCCTATGTACTCTGCAGCAAGCAGAACATTCACAATAGAGTGATAACTCCGTCAAGCCATTCGGTGCCCGTCACAGTGCCAATACGTATAAATTTGCGACACTACTGTCAGGGACTGTTTTATACGATATTTTTTGTGTCGAATCGAACATAAATTCCTACTGTTCATCAGTAAAAAGTGCATAAAAAGCACACAGCCATATGAGAACAAAGGTTTTTGTCCTGGGTGATTATTTATTTTAATTTCGATACAGTTAATGAAGAATTAATGTACACGACGTTGAAGGAATGTTAAAATATTGGAGAGATGCCTTGTATACGTTACGGCTTTATTAACTTTTTGTATCTATTAGTATAGAGAGCATCAAATATTTATATAAAACCAGCTGGGGCTTGCGACTTCGTCTGCCTAGAATACGAAATAAAAAGACTACTTTCCGATATCCCATTAATGTGTGCGCCTTATATTTTCCTTCTTAGTAATATAAGAACCCAAAAAACCCACAGGGGTCGAAGTTGACACCTTAGTATGACTTTGGGAGTCACTGGGTGTCGTAAATATTAAATATTTTTGACATACAGGATTTCTACTTTACACCAATTATCGCTAAGTCTGGACTGTAAATCTTAACCTAACTGTTCAGCAAATAAGTATGACAGTGTTTTACTATCTTTTTTTTCTTTTTTTTTTGTTGTATCTGCTTCATGGCAAAGTTTTACTATCAGCGCAGAAGTCGTTTATAAGTTGTTCAAACTAAGCGTGAACGTTTTCTTACACTCTATTTTCTATTGATGATATCCTGCGTCTAGAGGTTTGAACCATGTTGAAATATGATCCTTGAATAGAAACGCATAGTAATATAATATAGCCTTACATGATAATATACTAAAACACAAACAACTTATTTCGCCAGTACAATTATATCCATGCCCCAAAAGACAAAACAGTTGAAAGAGAAGTTATCTTTATTCATATTGTATAGCTAAGCGACTAACCATTTAGATTAGCAAAAATGATGAACCACCCATCACTACGGTCGTTGACCTATCATTGAATAATACATCTACGTAATTATACTTTTAAAACATTTTTAGAATCTGTAGTCTGGACCGCTTCATTACCCGGTGTCAATTAGCCAATGGCTTACCTTCATTTAATCATTAATATTTAAACAACATTAAACATGGATGAAGAAGAAATACTACGCATTACAATCAATTCCGTTAAGTACAATATGTACAATATGTACGTAATAAGTCAAATATTGATTACCTATTAAAGAAAAAGAAAAGAAACTTACTATTAATATTATAATATTATTAATAGAAAATTTTAAACTAATATATCATTTATAATTGTTTGCGTTGCATGTCGAACCCAGGATCTCCGTGTGATACTCCGTGGACGTTAACCACTAAGCCACGGAGGTAGACAAACAAATAAACTCACCAGCAGCCTTTAAACACGCACAATAGTAATTAATCATGTCTTCTCATCATTCTTGAAGTAAAAAAACGGTGATTAAAAAGTCGATACATTAATTTTTACGACAGAATGGCATTTTCTATAAATCCTCAGTATATATTGCAGTAAGTTGGGTAATTATTTTTTGTTATATGCCAACATTGACCACTTAAGGGGAAAAATGGCCGCTATAAATCGGAGTGTTTCAAAAAACCGTACTATGCACAATTCTCTTTTAATTCCCGTTCCATTAATCGTAATTAGTCCGTTAAAAAGTCGATTTATTTGTAGAAAAACGTACGATTCGAGATTTTCTTCCAATCGGCAATAAAGACTTCTTGCATCTTTAATTAAAGTTACATAGTTTAACCAATATACCATAACGCCTCAATGGGATATGAAGTTAATTGTTTCTGTACCAATCAAACATAAATAAAAAGTGCGTGCGTGCAAAGTACACAAGTCAGAAGTGAAACTTTGGCAAAGTAATTTTTAAGTCTTATTCATACTTTTACAAATCTAAAACTTAAGATTTCCGAGACTTAGGGGGAGGGGAAAAAGGATGATATGTTAGGAATTTAATTAATTTAATTGTCATTAAAATATTAAATGTGTCGAAAATTAATACAAATTATAAATTTTTTTTTTAAATTTATTTCTTCTATAATAAAAACACGCATTGGAAATTTCAATAAATTATTTTTCATAAAATATAAATACTAATATTTCATAACTTCTCTTTACGAAATTTAATTTTACAAATAGAATTTCCAGAAGTTTCACTTCAAAAATTTGCTCGATTTACTCGCATTCAATCAATGTGGAAACGATTTCGATTTTATGACACATTATAATAGGATCTCAATTAAAAATAATAAATGATTTAGTCTTGGTCATTACAAGAAAAATTCATTACAGTTAAACGATTTAATTTTTGAAATACTCCCATGAGTAAGACATATTTCTGCATTCCTAATCAAATTCAAGTCGCTCAACTTAAATTATCTTTACGAAAAAATAAGTCAGGACCTTTCAGGAAGTTCCTAACAAATAAGTGTTAAAATAAATTAAATTAATAGACATTCACCCTATGTCAATATCTATGTACTATATTGTTACTTCCTATTGTTTTTGACTGTCTGTTATAAAGTATTTAAAGAAAATACTTTTTTTACCGGATGGAAGTTATGTATTATTATACGGTCACCGTGACCACGCACGCTGTAAAGCACGCGAAACGTCGGAAAAATTTAAAATTATGTAAAATAATTGTAAATTTACAATAATACATAACTTCAATCCGGTTAAAAATGTTTTCTTTAAACGTGTAAAAGAAAATAAAAGACAATACTTTGTATAAAGTATTAAAGAAATCCTATTTGATACCTTGAAATTGACTATGTCATTAAAAGAAAGGGCCTTTTTCAAGATCATATTGTCTTGTTGGCATTTCGGGTTAGTTTCTTAATGTCTATTACGGGCCGAGGTTATCCGATTGTATTGAACAAAAACCTGGTCCGGCCGATATGGTTCGTTATTAGCTGGAGACGTCCCGACGAATCGTTTTTGCTCAACAGCATAAGTTACATCGCGTAGTTCACCAAGATATCTACAAGGTACTCGATGATTTTTACTCATTTACGTTATGTTAAGACCATTATAGCTATAAATGTTTATTAGTGATGTTTTATGAGATCATTCTTCAGATTATTTTTCTTTACATTGAAGGAATGGTTCATGAACATGGAAATTCTTTTACACATCTTATTGGTTGCGAAGGCTATTGTATTGTTTATTATTCGTTTTTAATCCATTTCCTGGCTTAGGTAATTGGTAATTAATCGGACGCACGGCGAAAAAAAAAATTACTTCCCGGTGGCGGACACAAGATTTGACCTTTGTCACATGCGCTTATTAATTGTATGATATAATTTTGAATAGTTTTTAAATAACCTTTAAATACAAATGAATAAATTACACTAAACACCAATACTTTATTATATCGGTATTTATTGAAATGGTCATACATATGAATACATATAATTATAGTAAAGTTAATAAGAATTTAAAGAAAACACTTTTTTACCGGATTGAAGTTATGTATTATTATAAACTTATAATTATTTTACATAATTAAAATTTTATCGCCGTTTCGCGTGCTTTACAGCGTGCGTGGTCACGGTGACAATTGATAATTATTAGTTTATAATAATACATAACTTCAATCCGGTAAAAAAATGTTTTCTTTAAATGTGTGAAAGTTATGTAAATAAAAGACAATACTATTAATAAGAATTGTCATAGGTTCTATAGAGGAACATTTTAATATGAATTAAATTTAACGTTAATAATACAATATTATCCCAGGCAGCAATTGTATGTATTTTTCCATTCTGTTATATTTTGATGTCTTCAAAACACAGCCTATAATCTGTGGTCCAGATCCCGAACGGGCGGGAAACGTGTCATTTGACAGACGAAATAACCTAATTACATGTCAAAATGTCCGATGTTCGATCACATTCGTAATATATGTGAATCGATTCTTATTATAGCATCCGATACAATTTTATATCCAATACAAAGTTGTAAAAATATTTAAAAATTTAACACAGTTATTTCAAAGTATTGCCGACGATTTTTATATTCCTAAAAAATTGAACAGCTCTCACTCTAGGCTTTACCAAAGGGAACAGCCAAGCTTACAATCCTTGCAAAAATAAATAAAAACACAGGGTATTTTTATGGGCACTTTGGTAACTAAAAATAATTGTGTCATTTATTAATAATTTTATATTTCATTTTAATATTGGTCGAAAGTTAATACGTTCCGTACCTCCATGTTTATAGAAGTGTACCAATTAGGATGAATTTTAGTTTCAATATAGGTACTATCTTATAAAATATTCTACGCAGATGAAGTTGCAGAAAGTAGTATAAAATAAATATTCCATGTAGTAACGAGATAAATTTAAAAACAAATCGAATATAAGCGCTTTTAAGCCTGTACAAGGTTAACTGGTCTGAAGGATGACCTATCTCAATATTTAAATAACAAAATATATGAATATACCAGTTATTTTCAATTTAAGGAAGATAAAAAATAAGGACTATTATTAGTCAATTTAAAAGTTATCTAAGCTAATAATTTAGGAAATGAAATGGGTGCTTCTTTTGTAAAACAACTATTTTTATTCCTTATACGTGGGTTTAAGCAAAATTTATACTGTTTTGTTACATGTTAGTTAAAATAAAGAATAAGTAACATTAATATTAGAAGGCTTTTGTTTGCCACAATCTTTCTATTTTAAACTATTATATTATAGTATATAATTGACAGACGTTTTCATATATTTTAATACTTTTATGAAAGCCGTACCGTATAAAATGACGGTCATATATATTTTGGTTTTGCTAAATATTGTTCTCGCAGTTGGCATGACAATTTGTTTGAAAGTTGGCAGTTGTAATGTCTACATGTTTTGTGTTTACTCCATAACAGTAAATACATCAAAATCGAATGAGTCATATTTGGGCTTTGTATGAACTTTTGAGCGTTAAATCATTACGTTATGTTTATACATAATTGCTGAATAACCGAGCTTTCCTTATTATTATCTCTAAACACATGTATGTAGCCTGTCCACCAAATTCTTGAAACATTCAATTGCAAATGTATTTGGCAATAGTTTCTTAATTATTTTATGTAGGTATATATGGAATTTGCAATCGAAAAAATACAACATAAATTAATGAAACTATATAATAAATGACGTTTATTTAAGTCATCCGTTATCTTGCGAGCTACAAAAGAGTTATGGTGATATTAGGAACTCTTGAGCTCCAAACTTGAGGATATCCAAACCCGAAATCTATTGCGCCAAGAAACGAACGCGGTACTTCCAGCCCTGTCGGCGGGTAGGACAATTCTAACAAAATCTAGTTACAACTTTTTTAAAGGTTTTGTATTTCAAGTGAAAATAATTCTTATTCGTCATTTTGGCGCAGTTGTTACGATATTAGCAGGCTATATTGTTTAATTGGTGTAATTTAACGTATAAGAACCACTCATTTAGTTTCTCTTCGTTACGTTTTTACGCTTGAAGTGTTACCAATTTTGATAGAAGACTTAAGAAATTCTTAAACTTCTTACATAACTTCAACTTGCAACTTCGACAACAAATTGTAACAGTTTAAATTTAAAAATCGTTAAAGCAAAGAGTTATTATGCAATAAGAATTGAATTGTGGAATAAGAATAAACGTTATTGGCTTAAAACCTATGTATAATAACAATTTAGGACTTGACAATGACACCTTATTTAGTTTCTCAATACATTTAATCATGAATAATAAAGATACAATTAACAAAGTTGCACAGACAAAAAATCTACCAGAAACGTCGTATTAAGCCATTACTCACCGATAATAAGGAAATGCCTGGGGAACATGGAGGTCCATCGGCATAGACGTATGTGCATGGCCGTGGGCATATTCATGCTGCATCATTCCATGCATGCCATGCCCCAGCATGGCGGCCCAGGGCGACGACGCAAACCCGCCCGGGTGTTCCATTTTTAAACTCTTAATTTGAAATCACATGAGGAACAAGTATTTCACACATACACAGGTATTCTCAGGTTTTTATCACTCAGTTTAAAATGCACAACACATGATTTACATTATTTAATGTAAATCTGATTAGTGTGATAAAGTAGGCTGGTTTAATCGGTTAGATAAACCTTTTATCCTAAAACACATCAAGATATGTTCGAGATTAGATTATATAACTATGCCGGGTTCCGACTGATTTGAAAAGGTATCTGTTATATATTCATAGCTTTATGCATATTATGATTACACATAAAACTAAGTTTTAAAATAGTTTTTTAAATTAAAATATTTTCCTAAATGAAAACTTATTTTTCTATTGCTCTTATTAATGGTTGAACTAAGATGAAAGCGATTTACTTTATATTTTTAATTCTGATCCAATAATAAGATTTATATAAACTGCATTTTATCCATATTATACGCCAGCGTGCATCCGTGAATTTTAAATATAAACAGATAACAGGACCTACAAGTTTTTGTTTAATTAAGCTTTCCGTTAATACTCAACACATTTTAAGGCTCTTTAACACTGTTAAGGTTAACACACGTTTATGTAAACAAAAAGGTTCGAACATTTGATATATTTACAAAGCGCCAGCGCAATCGATTGTTTTACCACGGGTACTATTAGTGGTTCTATTTGCCCACAGCTTAAGCGTTTATTGCGCTAATGTTGTGTTAACCTCAAGAAATTACGGGTTTTTTGTGTTTGTAAAGCAATAACAGCTGAGCGAGAGTTTTCGTTAACATTTACGATGTTTACTCTTTAAAAAAATATCACCAGATTCACATTAAACACATCACTAGTCACAACACAGGCACGGATAACGTCAAATGTCAAATCGCGCGCGCATAACGTCGCCGCGCATATGCAACACGTGTGGAGTGGCAGTGAGTCCAGCGGTCATTGAGGATCAAGTGTAGCTCGGAACCGGCCGGCATACGAAACAGGCTCCGCTCTCGGGGCGTGCTGTTGAACGTCACGCGCTATAATTGGGTTACCTTTACGTGACGCGAGCGCCCGTCACGTACGATACTGATATAATTGACATATAAGTCTAGCTTAGTGATAAGATTAGTATTTTCAAGTTAATTTAATACGGTAATTTATATACGTTAGTACAACTAGAAACATTTTAAAACTCGAATTAATTTTTGTTTACATAAACGTTACAAAACATAATAATTTCCATAGACAGTAGACAATATCAATATCTTCTATAAATAAAAATCAAGTAACTCTATTTATTAAAGCTGGAATTAACAAATTAAACATGAGTTAAAAAGTAACTGCATAATAACATAATTTCTCACGACATATCTACGTGACCTAACCTTGACGATTTGAAGGTAACTGTCACAGTAATTTTGAGTTAAGCACAACCATCATAACTTGAGCTGCAGAGTCTTAAGCAACTCCAAATAGAGTTTTGGGGACAAGAGATCATGTTGCACTAGATATAAAATAATTGCTAAGCCAATGACAGTGTATGACTAACAGGTAACGGTATGTGTTCGTAATTGGAGAATATGAGAATCGGGACGTGGTGTATTATTTTGTACATAAATTGCTGTGAAATATATGATTATACTAATTAAATTTAATTATGTACCAAGATGTAAAACGCGTATTGAAAACAAATGCAAGATAAATCCTACTTTCGAACAGATCAAAAAATTCTAAATTCAAATATTCGAATTCCAAAGAATCGTTCGAGCGGCACAGCTATATCACCTCACTGACGATTTAAAATTGGAATAGCGTGTGATTGGCCGCGGCCGCGTCGGGAAGGCGTGACGCGTGGCTAACTGGGCGTGTCTCCATAGCGCTAATACTAGGTCAGTGATAGCGATAATTTAATCGCTACAATATAACTACATCACACCGTACTACGATGCTACGCCGTAGCGTCCTTTTTTATCCTGTCCGAAGTTGGGGGGGAATTTATATCATACGTTTCTGCATCACATGCCCAAATGAATTAAATTTTAATTTTGGCATCTTGTAATTTTAATTGTACAAAAACGGGATTTTAATTAGCAACTAGTAGTATCGTAGTGGTTCTCGTGGCTTTACCGCAGGTTCTGGGTTCGTGTCCGATCGTATTAATAACAGTGTGACGTGAGAATTTTCTTAAGAAGGAGGTAACTCAAAAAAAAATCTGCCTCACTGATCACTAAACATTTATTATCGTGTTGTTCAAAATAAACTTTGATAACACCGAACAGAATGTGTCAATGTGATCAACATTGATAACACAAAATTCAAAGTTCACAACACAAATCCATATTCATTAAACGATATTAATAAATATATAATTTTTTTATTTTATGATCGTAGATTACCCACGTAATGGTTAAACTCATAAAGAGTATAAATTTAATATATATAACAGTACATTACTATACCAATAATGCACTATTATTATAATATGTATTTAATAACATCAGTACGTTGTAACGTACACAACTAATTAAATAAACATGGGTAACATCATTATGTATATAAACTCAGATTAATTGTATATCATAATTTGTAGTCTATTTTTTTTTTCAAACTAATTAATGTAAGCGACCATTGTTATATTTTTATAAACAAATGCTGTAATTTTAATATTCAATCAATTATTGTACTGTTAGCGGACTAACGCCATTTTGTAGCAGAAACCTATATAAAGCGTGGCAACACCGGCGTTGACTCACTCGCGGCGCCCGCGTGGTATGCTCTTGCGGCCGAGACGCACCGGCGCGGTACCGCCGTGCGAGCACCCGCGACGTACGCCGACGCGCCGCGTTGCGGGGGGAGAGGGGGGGGGGGGGGACTTTAGCGCGGCGGGTTGGGGGGGGCCCCCGGCCGCGGGCCCCCCCCGCGCCCCCCCCCCCCCCCCCCCCCCCGGCCGCGGGGGGGCCCCCCCGGGGGGGGGGGGGGGGGGGGGGACACAGGGGGGGGGGGGGGGCCCCCCCCGGGGGGGGGGGGGGGGGACAATTACAATTATTATAACATCAACACCAAGACAAAAGGGCGGACCCCCCCCCCCGGGGGCGGGGGGGGGGGGGGGGTGTGCCCCGGGGGGGGCCCCCCGGGGGTCCCCCCGGAACCGAGGGTCCACCCGGGTGGACGACCGCGCCCACGGGCCGTGCGCGCGGGGGGGGCCCCCGCCCCCCCGGCGGGGGGGGGGGGGGGGGGGGGGGGGGGGGGGCCGGCGGGGGCGGGGCGGTCAGGGCCGCCCAGGCCCGCCCCAAGACCATCCCGCCGTTGAGCGGGATGCGTATCCCCCAACCCCCCCAAGCCCATGGGCGATAACTGGGTTCCCAGCGCCACTTAAAGTATTGGCGGAAGATAGCAGAACACAGGTTGACTCACTTTTATTTCGAGACTTCGTGCGGAACGGACTTGTTACTAACCTAACCTCAGTAGATTTTAAAAGTCTGAAGTACCTACACGTTCTAATCTTTTGTGTTTCCTAATAGTACCATTATTTAAAAGCAGAAAATGTTAAATATTTTGATCCAAATCTTCAGACTCGAAAGTATGAAAATCGAATTGAAACATGATGCTACAGCAATATCAATCTTATTACAACGAAATAAGATTGACAAAATTACACGTAAGAATTTCTTTGTTACTGTAATCAAATTTAATCTTTAACCGGCCAAGCGAAACGGGTTCTTATGTTATTAGGTATAAAGTGTAAAGTATTTTTCAGTATTGGTGTTTATTATTCAAGGTGCGTAGTTCGCAATCGATAAGTCTAAGGAAATGAGATTTACCTAGCTGAGCTTTAGACTGAAATATTAAAAGTCGAGTCTCTAAGTCATATGAAAATGTTATAAGGCTTTAGAAAGAAAAATTAAATAACTTTCTTGAAAGTAATGAACCGACACCGATATATTTCTATCTAACTTTATAAAATGAATATGACTAGCCATTCTCCTTACATATAAAATGGACGTTTTGTCCTACTGGCCACTTTACCTCTTTGGTTAGGAATTCCAAATTCAATTTTTACAGCTATTTACTCGTGCATTTGTTTTTTGGAAAACCATGATTCATTTCTTTAGGCGCATGAGGGTAATTTTTTACGAAAACGTCACGAAGATGTGCAGCGTTTTTGTCTAAGAAAAGGGAGAGAGCGATTGAGACCGACGCGATGGAGAGAGAGCGAGAACGGTGAATCACCTTATAGAAAGTCTATTTTTAAAATTAAAATTTCGTAAAGAGAATTTATGAAATATTAGTTTTTATATTTTAAGCAAAATAATTAATTGAAATCTCAAATGACGAATTGTAAATTAAAATGCCACGTGTTTTTACTATTGAAGAAATATTTTAAAAAATTAAATTTATAATTTATTAATTTTCGATACTTGTGATATTTTAATGATAATTGAATTCATTAAATTCCTAACATATTATCTTCCTTTATCCCTCCCTCTAAGTCTCGGAAAGCTGAAGTTTTAGATTTGTATAAATATGAACAAGACTTAAAAATTAGTTGCCAAAGAAGTTTCACTTCTGAGATGTGTACATTGTACGCACGCACTTTTTTTTCTTTGCGTCACTCTATTTACAAAATGGAAAACATTAAACTTCGCGTTATTTACGACTACGAGTTCCACCATGGCACCAGTGATGCTGAAAAGGCTCAAAGGATTAATGATGTGTATGGCGGCGGTGTCGCAAAAGAAAACACAGTGTGTTTTTGGTTCCAACGTTTTGTTCTGAAATTTCGACTTGCAGAGTTAGCCCCGTATTGATAACGAAAAATTTAAGGCTATTGTGGAATCGCAAACTACGTAAGCTGCGGTGTTATTGATAAAACTGTATCAATTAATCCACTTGAAGCAAATTGGGAAGATGAATAAGCTTGAAAGGTGAGTACCTCACGAATTGAGTGAAGCAAATCGACAAACGCGCGTCGACTGCTGCGTTACATTACTCAACCGGCACAATAATGAAG